AGTTATATTGCGTTAAAAAGTTTTAGATTGAAGTCCACATTGTTAACACCCTGTACAATGTATTGATATTTTGGTTCAATAGAATTCTTAACGGATCTGTGGTAATTGGAAAGACATGTTTTTTTGTATCTCTAACTGCTTTTTTTTGCTTCTACAATGAATTTTTAGATACCATGTTTTTAAGCAAAATTTTACTTAAATGGCGATAATCTGCCAACGTCTCAAGTAAGAAAAAAACAATTTACGCTGCATATGCAGCGTTTCAAGCTGCATTCCATGAGTTAATGAAAAATGGGTAGTTCTATTTAACAAAATACACTTTCATCTTGCCTCGCTTTTCTGAGACACTCTATAACATATAAGATATTTTTAAAATGTGCGCACTTTGTGCGTCAACAACTTTTATATGAAACTATTTTTCGAAAGTTCAACACCATTGGAAATAATGGACTCTATCGTACTAAAAAACCACCCTGCATGTGTTAAACCCATATGAAAACTTTATTGTTATTAATGCTGAGAATACAGTTATTCTTCACAAAATGTTCTGGATGGTCCAAAAGCAAAAATTCAGCGAGAAGATATTTGATTTTTTTAAGTTTTCTTCACAAAAGCTTCTTTCACACTAACTGAAGATGCGGACCTCACCTTTGCTCCCACCAAGAGTCGTTTTTAAATCATGGTGCTTAAAATACTTTTATAAAATTAAGCTCGCATTTAAGATGCTCGTTCAAACAAATTTTCTTTAGCACAACATATATTATATTATAATATAACCGTTTGGCTATCGGATCGCTCTTCAAATAGACAAAATAACCTTTATTATTCTCTTTGTGTTCACTGTTAAGCAACAATACATTCAGATTGAATACATATTAATTGCTAAGTTCTGGCGATGAATAGCCACATTGAACATTGAAGCCACTGGTTGAAACATGTCGGCATTCGATTAATGTTTTTATTGCTCAATTTAGTTCCGCACAATGACTTTTGGAAACTATTCAAGAGTGCACCATATGTAGATCAGCGATTCGAATCTCAAATTCGGCAATTTTTTGTCATACAAAACAAACCGGAGACGGTCAAAGGAAAAAACCATTTAATTGTTGTTAAAGCGATTCGCGTCAATTATTCAAACCGTCAGCTATTTTGATTTGACCATGAATTCAGTAAATTGTTTTCCGTTCTTCTTACTAGAGTTGACTGTCCGCATGTACTTAGAATTTTAACAATACATAAACTATCCGACGGTTTTACTGCGTACTGAACTTTTTTATACTACCTGATTCCAATGAACCAATTAGTTTCTTGAAAGAGTGTCTTTAATTTTTGCCAAGCTTCTCAAATATCTGTTGACTATGTTTTCCGAGCTTTGTCTTTAATTATCATCATTAGCAGCTTAGACTAATTTCCTTTCAATATTTTTCTGTACTTCTCACACTTGAATCATTCAGAGATCAATTGTAAGCGATGAAATGTGGTTGTAGTTTCTTGTCACTAAAAATTACTATTTGAAAACCGGTTTTCAAATAGTAATTTTTCCATAAAACCGGTTTTAACCGGTTTCGAATTTCTATAAAAACATTTTTTGCTCGAATATTCTGTAATTCGAACACAATAAATAATGGGTTCGAATAAATGAAAACAACATATTTTCATATTTTTATAATAACTGTATTATTTAAAAAAAAAAACGATGTTATTAGATACAGAGGGATACTTATTAAAAACCATTGTAAAAATAACAGTGTATTATATAATGTAAATTACAATTAAAGCCGAAAGACAAGAGTAAATAAAGTTTATGCATACATACTTATTAAAATCAATTCTAGTTTTAAAGACAATTAAGCGAAGCACCAAGTATTTTCTATTCCGGGCAATTTTAATACAAATTTAAATATTTTATTTACTTTTTTGTTTAATGAAATATGATTTCTGAAAACAGAGGACGATTTGCTATTTATCCGTGTCCTTAGTTTATTCACAAAACTTCCCGAAATAGAAAATACCCTCTCACTTGCAACCGAACTAGGCTTAATCGTTTTTAAAGCCTGATATAATAATACTAAATTTGTTGTCCTTTTATTTGTGGCTTCCAGGGCCAAAAACTCTTGTCTTAGAGTTCGAGTAGAGGAAGTCACTTCTTCCGGTTCCTTTAAATATGTATTTATTAATTGCCATTTCCATAGCATTTTTCAATAAAACATTGTCTGGCTCTTGAATATCGCTTTCATCAAGTTTTTGAATATCACATTCTTCCCCTGTAGAGTAATCTTTATATAATCTTAATAATATTTGTCCGGATAACTTAATAATGTCACTTTTCGTTGCTAATGGAAGGAATTTATTAGAAGATTTCGTTAAAACTGTTTGAGGATTTTGTAAATAAAGGATAAGTGTAACTAATACTGCATCTCTTCATTCTTCAATCCGTGACTTTATAGCGTGTAATAATTTCTGACTAATTTCGGATATCAAATTTTGTACTTCACCCAGCAAAAATTCAAATATACCTTCACTTGTTAATAAATTTGTGCCTTGTCTGCCTAAAGCTTCGGCTGCTAATTTTATCGGACCTAAAACTTTAAGGAGTTCTACACCTCTGTAATATTCTTCTTCATCTTCATTCCACATATGAGAAGCATTAAGGTCATTCAGAGTTAAAACAACACATTCTTTTAGGTGTACAAATCTTTCTAAAATGGCCTCTAAACTATTCCATCTTGTTTTACAATCAATAATAAGATTATATTCTTTCTCGTATTTCCGTTTTACGTGATTCTGAAGAATACTGTTTTTGACAGGGAATTTTCTAAAATATTTTCAAATTTTCCCTACTTTACAAATAATATTTTTATAATCATCCAATAACTCAGTAACAGCTAGTTTATAATTGTTTATGTCAAGAGAATCTGATTCTTCAAAGTCACTATCAGATTCGTCATTTTCAGAGTCCTCACTTGTAGGATTTAAGTCTGTTTCCAATGGACTTTAATTTTTATTATATAATATATCAGTA